ATAAATTAAACAAATTACATTACTGATTATTCAATGTTTATCATAAAACAATATATTTTCTTTAAATTTCACGTACCCCCTAAGATGTCTTAGCGTACCCCCGGGGGTACGCGTACCCCAGGTTGAATACCACTGCTCTAGAACTCAGTACACAAATTTTTTGTGATTTTATGTATATATGCCTAATACTGATGAGCATTTACTAAACATACGAATTCATTATTGAAAAGCTAATTACAATACAACTAACAGATTGCAGAGTCACGCATTATTAATCAATTTATCGTGTGAAATAAGCAGTAATTACAAGGCGGTCTGAGCAAGCACCACGATACTGAAACATAACCATCTGTTCATGAAAATGGTAACTACATGTGCAAGGGACCTCAGAACAATTGTAATGATTCCATCCACACACACACCCTGTACAACAAAATACGCAACATCTGAACATCGCCGCAGGCCAGACAACGTTTTCGCGATCTCTGGGCTTGTATTTCTGTTACGGATGTCCACACGTTAAAAGCCTAGATCGGAAACGTGAACCAGATATTACATTTGCAGACGGCACAACGAGAAAGAACCTTTGGCCACAGAACTGAAATACCAAGAAACAACGCTGACCTTGACATTGGCAATGACAGCACATGTACACGCCGCGAAACGTCAGCCAGCTCGCTCGATCTTAGAACCAGCCTCTTATCGCTTTCAATGGTGTTACCATGTTTGCTGTCAGAGCAAGCAAGGACTGCGTGTCTCTAAATGGCTCCTGTAATATCATAAGACTGGCAAAGATTCAAGAATACGACGACGACGACGACGACGACTTGCAAGTTCATGGCGGGGAGCACAGCAGATGAGAATCTGTACTGGGCAGAAGGCAAATACGGTTAAATTCCTTTCTAATACCACAAAAAGGAATATTTGCTTTTGGGTATTTCAACTACGTTGTTTGAATTGCAGTAGGTCGAATGAGAAAAAAAAACGCTTAACCAAACGGGATACAGTACAAACAGGCTGGAAAATTAATCATGTCAACCGTGTTGGTCTGGCTAACACCTCGAAAAACGAAAATTAGAAAGGTCTTCTGCCTTGGTTCAGTGGTACTCCATACAGTGGAACAGCAGAACCGATCAGATAAATGCACCATTAACCAGCTTCATCCAGTCAGGCGTTGTTGGTCGAACTTTCGCTCACGGCAAGCGTTCTGCCATGTTCCAGTTCAATACAGGACCATTGAACCAGGAAAGTAAGAAGCAAATACTCTATTCTTCGCTGTTCACAGTGTAAGACAGGCCAACACGGCAAACAAGCTTCCACGAACGCTCCGCCCCTGGTTTATACTGCCCTTCGCAACCTCCCATTCTATCTGCATGACGTTCCAACATATCCCTTCCTGAACATGTGTCAAAATTATCTCACTACTTTTCTGTAAGTTCCTCTCGTCGAGATCTGCTCATGCCTCGCTAACATTGACCAACATTTCATACAATTTAAAATAAGAACGCCTGACTTTGAAATGTCAACGTGTCCGAAAATAATTACACTTATCTTCAGACAAGAGCCACGGTGATCTAGCGGTTAGAACGCTGGCCTTGTAATACTGGGGTCTCGGGTTCGATTCCCGGCGGTGCCCGAATGTATAACTTGTGTTGGGCAAGGCCGTGGTCTAGGCAACACGGAGTTTTCCTCCGTGGCATCCCAACAATTACTCCATTCACACTCACACAGAAGAAGGCAATGGCAAACCACTTCTGGATCATCTGCCAAGAACGTATATGAACAGGTCCCAGTCCGAGAAAAGGATGGAAGGATCCTGTTCATACAGACCTGTCGTCAGATAGAACACTAAATAAATATATAAAATAAATATAACTGACTGCTATAAAATCAAAAGTTGCAAATGTATTTCCTTTCAATAATACTACTTTATTTCAACTACTTATTAGTAGTTGAATTATAGATACAATGATTTGCCCTAGTATCATAAAGAAAAGAAAAAAGCATATGATACTAACCTTTCCCGGAGTCTGAATTGCGGATCACAACCTCATCCTTGCAGTAATTCTTGCCTGGTATCTTGGTTGGCTTGGCAAATTTTCCTGAAGTTTTTATAATCTCACCAGAGCTCAGGAGCCAGACACTGGCCCAGCGGTGGCAGTCTACGTCTTCGTCAAACGGAAATTCACAACTCGAATGTAATAAATTTGTTATTATTAAGTCGGCTAACCTGAATCACTGTGTGTCAGCCAGGCCTATCTAAATCTTAAAGACGTGTAAATTATTTCTGTGAACGCATTGACGTCATACGCTGTTAACAAATATCTGAACCACATATACTCGCGTTTAGCGTTTCTTGTTCTGGAGTCACGCTGCTGTGGCAGGGGGGTTGGCTGCAGTAGTACCAACCTTGGCATTGACCTTGACAGTGAAAAGCGCTTCTCCTGTGTTGCGTCATAACACGTTTGACAATCGATATCACGGAACTGCTACTGGCGACTTGATACAGCGTCGCGTGGCAGTCAAGTGATACTGTGGGCAACCCACTGAAGCAATGGGCTTCCTCCCGTAGCATCCTGCTTTAAAATATTTTACAGATGGGACATATAGTTACCACTGGGCTTCAGAGGGTTAAAGTAAGATTGGTTAATGCTCCGATCTGGCTATCAGTGCGTCGCCAGACCATCAAAACTGGAGGACCACGAAAGAAACGTTTTAATATATAAAAAACAATATAATAATAATAAATACTTTAGCATTGCGAGAATGCAGCATCTCAACACTTGCCCGAAAGGCAAAAAATTCAAACACGTCTTCATAAGCTCGTACACTTGATCGCAAATGTTAACATACGGTAACATGATAAGACAAAATTTTGCAGTGCAGTCCCATAATCCATTTTGGTGAAAATCGCCAACCCAATTCGAAATTAAAAAACAAAGTTTCGAGACTGCACGAGATAACGAGCTATCGCTAAAAATAAGCTTTATCGATCACATTCCATTCCGACGACCTTCTTATGTTCTGCCTGCAGCGGCGCTGATTGGCCAAACAATTAACTGGCCTGGACTAGCACTCTACGGATTAAGTGTAACTAAATACCTTTTAAAAAATAACACATGGCTAAGCAACATCTGTCTCAACGAAAATACTCGTTAAATATCAGTCGTACGAGAATAATTACCATGCACCGTCAAAATCTCATCGGGGTGATATAACCGAAACGACACCTTACAAGTATAATGGACTACCCTAAATAACAAGACATGTTACTTCAGTGACTTAAGGCCCACCTCTTGTAATGAAGGTCACGTTCGAGAATCGACTTTCGAGGACAGAGAGACAATCAAGTGGCTGAGAACAGGCCCAGTGGCGGGCTCTTGTCAACTATGCAATGAACCTCCGGGTTACATAATAGGCAGAGATTTTATTGAACAGCTGGGCTCAAAAAGGACTCTGCTCCATGGAGTTTAGAGTTTAAAGAGCTTTAAGGCAAAACACGTGGCACGCTGGCCTTGTAATCCTGGGGTCTCGGGTTCGATTCCCGGCGGTGCCCGAATTTATAACTTGTGTTGGGCAAGGCCGTGGTCTAGGCAACACGGAGTTTTCCTCCGTGGCATCCCAACAATTACTCCATTCACACACAGAAGAAGGCAATGGCAAACCACTTCTGGATCATCTGCCAAGAACGTATATGAACAGGTCCCAGTCCGAGAAAAGGATGGAAGGATCCTGTTCATATGGACCTGTCGTCAGACAGAACACACACACACACAAAAGAGAGAAAGAGAAAGAGAGAGAGAGAGAGAGAGGCAACAGACAAGAAACGTCTACAATACGTACGAAGGTTTGAAATTTACTTCATATCTTCATATTATCAGGTATTCTACGTCATTAGAAAAGTGTGGCACATTAAATCGCGTAAGTCAAAGAGAGACAAAGGAAAATAATAAATGAGGACATACAAGGACAAAAGAAAGAGGTACAGAGAGAAAGGGAAACAGAGAATGAAAAAGAGGACTTATAGAAAAAATAACAAAAACAAGAAATGAGATTTGAGGTCCTCACTATGGTAAAAACGCCGATGTTGGTCTTCTGGGTTACAAGGCCGTGTGGACTTATCGTAATTAACAACTGTAACAAATTACATACAAACTAATTTTACTTCTGCAGCACAACACAGAGTAACTAAATCAAAGATCAAACGTGCACAGAACAAGCTGCAATAGAGCTCGTCAGATATCACGTGGAGCTGTTCCAAGCAATCAATCAATCAATGTACGATATAACAATCTTCTGACCAATGGCTGAGGAGTATATGACGTTGGGTTGACCAACAAATGCATGGAAGTCGAATCTTTGTGATACGTTGCACATTTCTGTACCAGACTACACGTCCCTTCAACCCATACGACAGCCATATTCTTACTCACCGCCATGAGATCCTCAAATCCTAGATATGTTAAGCTGTGTCAGTTGTAGTATTCTGGGTTCTGACGACATGCAGAATTGCCAGTGGCTACTACTAGTCGTCTTCGGAATGCTGGAAACCACTTACTAGACTGCATGGCGCTTCAACCTAGAATACTGCAACCGATGTACTGTCCTCTTTGCACCCTTAGGAGAATGGCCGGCTAGCGCCTTGAAATAAGCCACACGCACTACCTTACAGAACCCTACCAACCAACCAAACTACAGACATTTCGTCATTGAACGCAATATAACCTAAGCGGTCAAGTGAAAACATCGTTATCATTTTCCATGCTATGAACGATATATGTCGCTTGAAATTAATTATTCCTTTCTACAGGTAGGAAACTGTAAGTAAAACCACGTGTCATTCCACCTCTTTGTTGACATTTTTAAGTTAACCATTTTCTTTATCCCGCAAACTTAATTTAATATGAAAATCTAAACACAAGAAAGAACACTATATATTGGTGTTGGAAGCATCGGTAAGTAAATTGTAAAAAAAATTACAACATTTTTAGGGTACTCACCCAGTTCCATGGGGTACAGCCAGGTGTTTACGTCGAGAATGAGGTCCATCTTGAAGGATTCGCTCTCGCAATGAAGTCGGCTGACTGGAACAGAGAAAAATGCCATCAGCATATGCACGTATTAAGACATATTACGGGCAACAGATGCCAACATCCGGTATGCAAGAAGTACCATGTGTTCAAAGCACGGTAGGTAACTGGAGCGGAAATCTACACCTTGTGCACAAGTGCCTAGGAAAAGGCTGGACGGAGTTATACCTCCATTTCCCCCCATATGTCATAATGATCTGGTGAAGCACGATTACATCTTCTGCCCTGCGTCAAAATTGTAGAATCACGTTAACTCAGATTGGAGGAGAAAACAAGACATCCTCTCGGAAAGCGAACAACTGCAAGACTAAGAGGCAGATGGAAGTGATTTATCACGATGGATCTTAGGTAAACAGATATGAGGATGGGCAATGCCTCAGGACCGTGTTGAATAGCAGCTTTCATAGTGCAGCCCGAAGGACAAGAACGCAAAATACCAGACACTCAGTTTCGTTTCATTAGAGACGTTTATTCACAGAATCAGTGGAAAAACATTTTCGGAATAACTGCGATAATGAATACGTCCCATAGCTTCCAATCACAAGCGCTACCAGCAATCCAACGAAAGGAGAGAGACAACTGCTGATTTTTATAAACACAGCCACAAAGACCTGGTGGAAATAAGAAAAGAAACAGCACTCGCTTTGCTTCTCAATATTGGGCACACCAAAACCGCGATGCACCAAGGTCGCATTCAATTTCTACTCTCCCCACATTGTGAGCTTTCCGCACGAGTAGATCACACAAACCGAGTCAGAATTTCTCCGCTGCGGGTTTGATACGGTCAGCAACGTATAAACCAACCCGACATTATCAATCTACGGTCTACGGGACCTCCGAGGTCCGCGGATCGGTCCTTTCTTTGGTCCGCTAATAAAAATAGGTTCGTGTCAAAACAGGTTATATCTGAATTCTCAAACACTTTTATTTGAAAAAAACACTGCACCCTTGATTTATATTATAACTCAGCGGGGTCAGAATCCAGATTCGGAACTTTCCTAACGTATCTGCACACCCGACCACAATGGAAGCAAACGGTGGGTGAACGGACGGAGAGGAACACCCACGAAGACTGGACGAAACAGTCGTCGGCGCTGGGCAAAGAAACTTATAGCTGTTTCTGAAAAAGGAGGCAGTGTGTTCCTCCGAAACGTTTGCATCTACCTACAAGTCAACACGGCGTTACACAACTCAAAATACCAACACGAACTTTGAACGGAAGAAGTCGCTTGGGAGATCTGGACCTAGATGGTAGGATACTATCAGACGGTTCTTAAAGAAATAATACGTGAGGGCGTGTGTGGACTAGATTCATCTACCTCAGGGCAAATACAGTGACAGGCTCTTGTAAAAAACAATGGCTGAGGAGAGGTTTGGCGAGTTTTCATAGCAGCGAAAAATTAATTACTTACAGGCTACGGAAACAGGAGCAATTGTTTGGATAAATTATTGCAAAAAAATATATTTTACTTTGGTCGACTGTAGAACATGGAGTTAATTACGTCTCCTGCACTGTTCGTCTTGTTAACTACGGGGATAAAATGGAAAAGCCGAATTCCCCTGGCAGTTACTCAAATGCAACTCGTCTTCCTTCGGCTTGCAAGTTACAATTCTAGTAGTTTATTTTACTGGGTGGGCCATTATTTCTGGCAGAACGAGTTCGCTCGAGAAGGGTACTCGACCTACGCGAAGCCAAGAACCCCACGGCCTTGATCTTGTGGACCCCTATTCCCTCATTTTTCAAACACAAACATATGTTTCATCTTTAAACGATCAGCTGGATAACCGACACCTGTAAACTTCGAATTACTTAACAAGGCAAAATCTCGCTGTACACTATGTTTCAGTCGTTTTATATAGCTTTTCGGTAGCGCAAATTTCTAGCATTTAATACAGTTTTGCAAACAGAACATCGCGTTCACATCTGGCATGTTCCCACAAAAAAGTTCATAACAAGTGGTAACAGCCGATAACAGCTGTTTGGATATAGTTTTAGTGTCATTAGTTTTCAAATTTTATGACGCTAAAAAAATTGGACTTTTTTTTAAAGTTCATTTTTAGACTTCAGTTTGATTTGCTTAATTTGGTGACAGTACCGAACAATTAATGCGACTGGAATCAAAATATTAGTATCTTTTATGAGAGAATGGAAACGTTTATACTGTTTACACCACTCATTAAATACTCCATTGCGTATACAATAAAATATATATTGAAGTATAATGTATTAAAGTCGTAAAATATTTGTTAGCTACACCTTAATTCTATTGTCATCATTAACAAGTAAATACATCCATTAAAATCTGAACCATCGGGAGAATACAAATGATGTTACGTTTTACTTTCAAATATTGACGTCAAAGAAAAATAGGATAATGCATTGGGCACGTGATCGGTGGAGATGGCAGAATGCCAATATGTCAACTCAAGGTCTTCGTTGTATTTTGGGCTGCAGATCCGGAAGATTTCTATGCGTGTAGATACAAATGCTTTGTTCCGTTAGGCGAATTGAACACGTGTAGACGAACTTCATACGTTATTTGGTGTGATGAATATCGAGGTTTATGGTAAGGGTAAAGATGCCTCTGTGAACCAGACAACGAAGGTTCAACCTTCTTGTTGCAAGCCTCAGTCAGGATAACTGATCTTCGTGTCAAGATTATAACCCGGAACCTCCGGAATATGAAGCACTAGGGTTTCCCATTCTGCTGCTACGAAAGTTGAAAATACGCCTAAATTAACATAAGGATTTTGTATATGCGCATTACATACGTAAACATAATTATCGTCTCATTTGCATAGAGTAAGAAACAGGTAACGTTTCACAAGCATTTACGGGCTGTCATGCAGGAGAATAGCGGACATGGAGATTTAGCAACGGACGTTCAAGATTTCGGTAAAAGACTGCAGCGTCCCTTCAACCCAAGAAAAGAGACTTTGTACTTATGAAACCTAAAGAATACAGAAAAGAATCCTCGAATACCGACAGTCTGACCTGAGCCATCCCGCTTAAGTCTCTTTTACGCTAAAACACAATACAAACGTGACTCAATCAATGCACATGTGCCTCGAATGAGAGGCATCATGAGAAGAAAAACGTAACAGTGGCACAGAGAGAGAGAGAGAGAGAGAGAGAGAGAGAGAGAGAGAGGAACAACACAGGGACACCTGGGACTTCACTGGATGGGCCTTTGATTCAACACCAAGCGACTGCATCAGTGCACGGCAAAGCAGGCGGCAACTAAAATAAGTAGTGTGAAATGACACGGAATTTCAAAGTAATGTGCGACAGCTCTCAGGAACATGGCATGAGGCGGCAAATACGAGTAGTTCGTGCCTCCAATAGGCCACAAACGGCTACGTCTGATCCATGACAATTAGAACAAAACTTCCATCACACGTTACGAAACTTTCTCCTGAATAATGTAAAAGGAACCGACGTTTAAGAGGCGTCTGTTGTACAAAGGGATGGCGACCCATATCAATTTATATAATAATAATAATCATTAATGCTTGATATGAAATATCAAATTCGAATCTGGTAAAAAAAAAATGTGGGACACATGCAAAGATACTAAAAGTTCTACTATTTTACGGTGGCCTCTAACACAAACGAACGAAGTGATGATAAAGAATAATGTGGAAATAAAAACAGTGAACTTCAATGTCTTTAGTGAAAGTTAACGTAAGCCTACTGGCATAGTTAACCGATAAACCATGAGGGTTAACAGCATGAAATCCAGAAGGATCTTTGAAGTTGCGCAGCTGAATTTCTTCAGTTGCGAACAATTTTATCTTATAGTTATTAACAGAGTAGGCGAAACTTTTAATGCTCGCTAGTGCAACCACAACTTCATTTCCGATATTCTACCTCCTGCAATTACCTGCAAACTCAGCTGCCATCCTCTTGAGAGGCAAATTTGTGAGAGTAACAGAACAAATCAGGTTTCCTGAGCAGCCAACACATTAAAATAACTTTACTACTCTAGAAAAGGACGCATCAAACCATAAATATTAACTAAAAAACGAACAAATACAAAAAATCATGTGAATACATAAACTGACGCCGTGTTTGTAATTTCCAGGGCCAATTCCTTTAGTAACTTACAATTCTCCGATAATAAACTTCATTATAACAATTCCGAGTCTGAAATACTGAAAGCGTTGTTAAATATGCAATAAATAAATAAATAAAATGTAACAACTCTGTTGGTTAAATATACAATAAATAAATAATTAAATAAATAAAATGTAACAACTCTGTTCGAATCTTGTTTTAATCATTTATAACTGACAACAGACTTGTTTTAATATGGAAAGTATGCTCATAGAATAATAATTCAATTAATAGCAGTCGGCTGACTCAACAGCAGTTCAGTTACAGTAACAGCGTAATATAAAAAACCTAAAAAATAAACTAGCAGGTAACAACAAAATTATACAATTATACTGCAATACAAATTAAACGAAACAAAAAAGCCACTCGTATGTAAATTTATTTATACATATTTTATTTAATGACGCCTTCAGCAGTTGAGATTATTTAGCGTCGGATGACATGGCAGCGAGTAATGAATTGGAACGGATGTGGAAGGAAGCGGTTTGAGTCTGATTTGACGTTAAAGAAGATAAATTGTTTGAACTTAACATATAATTTCGTAATTCAAATTGTTCCTTAACATACCAATGTTTGAAACTAATCCTCATACAGACAAAAAAGACAAGTTTAGTGTCAGGAACCAACAATAATTAGGGGATAAGATAGGGAAATACGAACAGGAACACAATCGTCAGCTTATAGAAGGAGAAAGCAGAATTTTTAAACGAGCGTAAACATTAAATAGAAAATCTCATCTATGTGACGCCATTTTTGCACATAAAGTATGAATATTTAAGTAGCCTAAAACATTAGCATAGCTGTGTCAGACATAATGAAAAATGCGATTATGACAAAGGACTATAAACTTCGGCGTCAGTGGAGGTAAATGAAATTC